TACTAATGGTGCCAGCAGCATTCTGATTAAACGTCCGTCTTGCCTTTCCTCGGAGCGTCGAGCATCGGCCAGAACCCCTTGTCACTCTTAGCTGCATCAATCTCACCAGACTGTGGTGATCCATTTGCTCCTCCGAATTGTACACACTCCCCTACAGGGCACTAAGTTGTGCAGAACCAGCCAGTCTGTCCATCAGTTCATTTCCAAACACACCGGCGTTTCACAGAGAAAAGATCCAGACAATACTCCTCACACGTGACCTCCGCAGCGAAGCATGCCACTCTGCACGAAGCATACCTGACCTGACCTTCCTCAGCATGCTTTCTGAGTCAGTTACAATCACGATATGTGTATGTCGTGTTCTCTAGCCAGCGTAAAGCTGCAGTGACCGCCTCCACCTCGATTCTTAAGCTGGATGTTGTGATATCACATGCTAGGCTCACCAACACCACACATCGACCATTAACTTTTCCTAAAAAACTCCAAGCACTTCTTTTGCCTCTTGACACTGAACCGTCTGTATAAATAATCAGATCCTCTTAGCGATCATTTCACTAAATTCATTGCTGAATTTCCACATCCGTGGCCCCGGATGTGGATTCTTTGCGCTCCCGGCTCAATGTCGTTATGACTCTTCACAAAACTGAATGTTCAGCTGGCACCTTGACCCACTCCTCTCCTCGTCTAATGTTCTCCAGGATGCAGACCTGTCTGATTGTGTCTTCTGCCTGAGCAATCCATGACTTTCCTCTTATCAGCCGCTGACCCTTAACTGTGCGCAGAGCTTCGTGCAAAGGATGTTCTGTATCTACAGCTACTCTGAAATATGACTTCGCCTGCAGCACCTTTAGCCTACCTGCAACAGTCGGCAAACCAAGGATGTGCCGCATACACACCACTGGGTTGTCTCTAGTACAACCAAGAATGACCCGCTAAGCTGCGTTCTGTATGCGCTCTAGTTTATCCATTGTAAAGTCCATTGTAATTACCTAACATATCCCAAATTATTTCAGGATCCTCGCCGGTGCTACTGAGTTCGTGCACTGCGCTGAGATTCTTAGGACTCAGGCTCAAGTCAGAAGTAGCAGGGAGCAATTATGGGTTATTCACTGTGCCGTGATGTTGACCCGTTGTCTAAACCAAACCAGACAAAAAATAGCCCACGATCGTTCATGCTATGGATTCAATATGTGGCTGCTAAAGGTGCTGCAGGCTAGGTCATACCTTAGAGTAGCTGCAGACAAGGAACACCCTCTGTATGAAGCTTTGGATGCAGATACAGATCAGAGGCTGAAAATGGGAATATTGTTGATGGCTCAAGCAGAAGACACAATAGGACAAGTATGCATGCTGGAGAACATTGGGCGAGGAGAGGAGTGGGTCAGAGTATCGGAGGAAAAGTCTGACCTGTGTAGGGTTATGATCACATTGGGTCGGAAGTGCAGAGGGTAGCCAGTGGGTGCTATGGAGGGAAAGTCCAACAGTTGATTCACAACAATGCACGACCAGATGGTTCGGTGTTGTGAGGAAGAGAAGTGCCTAAGGGTTCGTAGCAAAAGCCAATGGAAAATCGTCAGTGCAAGACAGCCTAGCATTCGACATCACATCTAGCATGAGAATGGAGGTCGAGGCGGTAATTGCAGCTCTCTGGTGGCTAGAGAACAAGATGTATACACGTGTCGTAAAGACAGGGAGGCTTCAAGCAGAGTGAAAAGCTTCACTGGGAAGATCACGGGTAGTGAGCATACTTTGGATCTTTTCTCCAGGCCATGCCGGCGTAGTGGGTAATGAACAGGCAGGCAGATTTGTTGGATCTGCACCACTAGGTGGTGAATTGACACATAACAAGGCAGATGTGGTTAAGGCCTTTTGGGAACAAGCAACGGAATCAGAAGAAAAACAAGATTATTATGGCCTGGAGAGATTGAGGCCACTGGGTGTAACCAGAGGGTCTGGCAGGCTCACTAAACTCAGAGGAAAAGCAAGTTGGATATATAACCAGATTGTCTCCGGTAACATTAGTACTGGAACTCTGCTCTGTCTGCTGAAGATGAGGACGGAGTACTCATGAGAATGCTCCGAGTGCTGTGGTGTCTATTCTTGACTCATGAGTTATGAGTTAGATTATTTTCACAGCACTTCGGACACATCCATAGGCGCTCAGATTCCCCTCTCAACATATTCATCAGCGTCGTGCGGTTAATAGTACCAGTCCTATGTTGGTTAACAAGACTTCATGTGCATCCGATGTGCTTCTCATGCTTGGCTGTGCCGATCTTTACTCCCAATTCGTCTATTCTCAGCAGTGAAATGGACACGTTGCTTCCAAAATCCTCAGAACGTACTATCTCTTTAAGGGCAATGACAATGTCTGCGTGATCCATGGACAGGCCATCTTCAATTAATGCAGCACCTGCCAATCTATCAGCTCTCTCATTACCAACAACGCCTGCATACTCTGAGACGAATATGAAGGTAACTGCACACACAGGAGAATTTTGCAACGACTCAAGCCACTGTCTGCGTAACCAGCCTGCCTCGACCTGCTAGATCATGCTCAAAGAATCACTCAGCACACACACGCAGGAATAGTACTGTGATTACAGCCACATAAGAGCCTGTGTCACCGCCATCACCTCCATCGTCATGCTGGTGGTGGTCATGGAGAAGGCACCGCTGGCTTTCTCTGTTCTGCCTGAAAAGCAGGCAGTAAATGCCCATGCACTATTATGCCCTCGTATAACGGAACCGTCTGTGAAGATCACCACATCTGTCTCATCTGACTTGTCACTGATAAGCGAGCATACCTAGGCATTGACAGCAGCTGGATTGGGCTCCCGACAATTCCTATCGAGCGTCACGACACAGGATAATGTGAGATTGGGCGCTTTAGACGCTGGTATTCACTCTTCACCTGAATGGATGTCTGTAAGGCTGAAAACCTGCATGATGTAATCCTCTGCCCTACTTAGCCATGATTTGCCCCCTTTTAAGCATATCCCCCCCCCCCTTTTTTTTTTTTTAAAGAGCATGTGGTGCAAAGGATGCTTCAGAACTGAGCTTATCTTGAGGTATGCACGAGCCCTCCAGATCTTGATCTTGTAGTTCATGGTAGAGAAGTCAAGAAGGTACCTCACTGCTACACAAGAGTTGTCTCCAGTGCAACCTAGAATAATGCGCATTACTTCATTGTGCACCTTCTCAGGTCTTTCAATCCGAGTATGGCTGACAGTGAGGATTGCAAGAGCATATTCGATGGGAGAAAGTACAAGTCCCTGGAACAGAAGCAGTCTCTGCTCAGTGGAAACTCATTGCTGACAGGCCTTTGCGTGCTTTTGTTATAACATGGTCGACATGTTCTCTGAAGGATAGGCTGCGATCAAACCTCACTCCGATGTATGTCATCAGATTTGTTCTCGTCAAAATTTCCTCGCTGCTTTCCACTGCTGGTAAGTCTGCCTTCACTATATCCATGTTCAAGAAGAACCACGCTACTGAGGCCTTCGAAGCTTTGACATGAGCATTAGAATCTGCACACCAGGAGGAGAGCTTTTAAGTTCACTCTGCATTGACTTGGCAATCTCTTGACGATCTATTCCATGTTGATATACTAAGAGGTCATCAGCAAATGACAAGGTTCTTCCACTCCCGTGCAACTGCTGCTAAGTTATCAGCACTGTGTACACGTTGAATAGCATTGGGGGCAGCGGAGAACCTTGAGGCAGTCCTAGGCTGATGGTTATCGGTTCTGAGGACCAACAGCCACACCTGAGTATCATCCGTCTCTGAAACAGTGCTGCGGCTACCTAGCGGGTGATGAAGGCAGATACTTGCAGTTAGAGAAGTATGTGCACTAAGTATTCAAATAGTACTCTGTTGTACGCATCCTTTAAGTCTAGTGCAGCTGCACATGTCTCTTCTCTCATCTGAAAACCTCCATAGACTTCACAGGCGAAGACTGCTGCATTGAGCCATGTCTCTTTGTTTCGTCTGTATCCCCCAAGTGAGGATGGTAACCTGTCATGCTTTTCCAAGTCATCAGCAAGTCTACGTGCTACAGTTTTCTCCAGAAGCTTGCCCGTAATGTTCTGCATGGTAATGATTCTGTAGCCACTAATATTGAAATGGTCTTTATTTGGTTTTGGTAATGGCAGTATGTAGCTGTGTAGATTTTTTTGCCCCTACCTGCGCGTTGGAGGTATATAGGCTGACCGTCATTTCATTGAACGAAGTTTTTTCGCCAGGGACACTAGATGAGTGTCATTTATTCTATACATTAGAGTCCTATGTAGTCACTTCATAGTTAGGGCCTATTTGTGTATGTGTACTGTGTTGTCCTTTATGTGCTGATGAAGGCTAATCGCCGCAACGTCCTTTGTTTGTTTATTTGGATCGATTTTGTAAAGCTAACATAAACTAATTGTTGTTTCTTACCAACTTTTTCTCTTCCCTATAATTTTCCATTCCTTATAAAAACTCTCTGATTTGATCACTCCTGATGCTGACGTTGAACTCTCCTGCAAGTTCTGACATATCGTCCTCTGACATCTGCAGCATATCAGCATACTGGATGCCGACAGGGCCTGGTGAGGGGTTGGGCGATTTCCTGAGTGTTGCCTGTATGGTCTCAGTTGTAACACTGTAATCCTCACTTCTCTCATCTATGTTACACAACTCTTAAAGTGTTGACTTCACTCTTCGTCTGGCTGCCTCGTCTTTCTGATCGGTCTGGTCCAAGTAGCGCTGAAGGAGAGCCTGTCTTTTGTCTGCATCAGATTTCTGCCATGTCAGATCTGCGCTTTGAAAGTCTGGGATACCCCGACTTTGTGTGGTGCCATTCATTGCCCAATGAAGTCGCCAAAATGTGGCAAAAGACCCTTCAGAGCACACCTTCTTGACTTAACTCATGTGGCTAAATTTAACTATGTTGGCATCTTTAGCCACCTTTCGCAGTTGACGCGCTCTCGTTTGTCAAAAGATTAAAGATTTATTTTAAAGAAATGGCATCCGAAATACTTGCTAAGCTTTGCAGCAAAGCCAAACTTGAGAGAGATAGAGGTTTCACAGAACTTCAGGAGTATGTTAATACATCTAACGAAGACGAAATCCATGACCTCGAACAAGATTTGTTAAATTTACTTTCCAGCGAGGATAACGGTTGGGAGAGTCGCCACGGTGGCTTGAGTGGCGTGAGATGCCTCATAGAGCAAGGCAAAATCTCTTTCCAGGATGGCGACACTGATTTGGGCATCGAGGGGGATGTTTTTGTTAACGAAATCATGGACAAAGCCATATCCCTGTTGGACGACGAAGAGTTTCGCGTCCGAATTGCAGCAGGTAAAAATTATCTTATTTGCCAGGGTGCACATTTATGAGGAAAAATATTACTTTAAATAATATAATTAAGCTAAATAACTAAATGAAAATATTTAAAATAAAAGGATTGGCTCTACTGGCAAATCCGGACGAAGAATAAAAAGCCGTGGACGACTTAGTCAGAGTTCTCTCCCGTCGCCGCACGCCAAACAGTGATCGGAAAACAAACGAAACAAACGACACACTTACCTATCATCCTGCGGTTGCGTGTAGGGCTGCGCACGGTTGCGTAAGGCATCGTGGCATCATCATATGGTTGCGTGCAGGGTTGCGTACGGTTGCGTGAGGCATTGTGAATGGTTGTGTAGTCATCATCATGCGGTTGTTGGATTAGAGTTAGGGGTAGGGTTAGGGTTAGGGTTAGGGGTAGGGTTAGGGTTAGGGGTAGGGTTAGGGGTAGGGTTGAGGTTAGGGGTAGGGTTAGGGGTAGGGTTAGGGGTAGGGTTAGGGTTAGGGGTAGGGTTAGGGGTAGGGTTAGGGGTAGGGTTAGGGTTAGATGTGAAAATTTTGACGTAGGATTTCGAAATACTGGCCGACAATATGATGTTTGTGGGAGTGGCGCCACTGAAACTCTGCCAAATATGACGCCAATAGCGTGCGGCTGGTGCCCCCAATCGTTGGCGAATTGTGCGTGTGACCAGCATCCAGAGGCTTTCGATTGTTTGTGTGTGTGTATGGGACTGTGCGCGATTATAGGGAACTCCGGCGTCAAAATTGTCAAATCTAACGCTAATCCTAACCCTACCGCTAACCCTAATCCTAATCCTACTCCCTAACCCTAACCCCTACCCCCCTAACCACGCAAATTTATCGATCATTAAAGCATACAAATCGGCAAACACCAACAAACAAAACACACCCAAAAAAAAAAAAAACACCCAGAATTGTCCTGCAGTGTCGAAAAAAAACCCAGATCTGGGGGAAACAACCAAGCATTGGCAGCCCTGATGTCGACGTGACTGTCTTCTTTGTTTCGTTGTGGCTTTTCCGATCACTGTTTGGAGTGCGGCAAAGGGAGAGAACTCTGACTAAGTCGTCCAAGGCTGTTTATTCTTCGTCCGGATTTGCCAGTAGAGCCAAAGGATTTAGTTTAGAATTTAGTCTAAATAAAATTAGAGTTACTCTAACTAAGAGTAAATTAGTAAGTAGTATGAGTCAGTTAAGTAGTATTTCTAAAATTACTTCGCTTAAAACTACATTACTTACTAAATTAAATACACCTGGATTAAAACTACCTGACATTAATGCAACTTGGGTTAGAAACTGAACTCTGACTGATCAATGATAGTGACATGACATTATTGATATACACAAATTTCAGCATGTTGCCTGATTTGTGATTACAAATTATAAAACATGGAATATTCCATACCTTAAAAATGTATAGCAAATATTTTTTTAATTGGCTATTATTACTAACAGAATGTTGCAACAGTTTTTGAAGTTTGTTTTTAAAGATTTCAGTCAATCAGTCGTTAGCTGCCATCTCCACATGAACATGAAGGTTGGCTGCAATGGATCTCCAACATGCTTTGTCTCTTGTCTTTGTTGTACACTGTCTTAGGCTACTGACTGTCTGTTCATATCATCATGTTTTCTTTCCACTTGTATCTTCTTGCATTTGACTTTTCCGACCAGTGTAGTTTTGAAAGGAGATTGCCATTTCTCTCTTGAAGGCATGCAGTTGGCTGTTCACGTTGCACCACATTTAAAACTTTTGTAGTTTTTAAAAAACATGCGTACGTATTTTCTGAAAATGCAGTGAAAGTCATCACTTGTCAACCGAATGTGCACTTTGGCTACACCTGCCCCTTTCAGAACCTCTTGGTTGCTTTTTTTTGTTTTTGTTTTGTTCTTGTTGCTGTCCAAGGTATTTTAAGGATTGTTCTGTAAAAAAAAACATCTCTGAGGCCTCAATAAATTATTTAGTCTGCTTACTGATTGCCCAGGACTCACAGCCATATGTTAAAACTGGATGTATGTAACAAGCAAGAATTCTTTTTCTAACCTTTCGTGACAAAGAAATATTGCATAAGATGTTCTTCATTTTTATAAAATGCAGTTTTTGCCTGTCCTCTTTTCGACAATTGCGAGGAAAGACAATTTAAATTTTAACTTCTAAGTATCTTCATGCCTTTTTAAATAATGTCACAATTCATAGCCGACTTTTCTTTATTTTCGCCGCGGCACCCCTGAAACACGCACTTAGTTTTAGAACTTCTGCTGCAATGCCTCGGTCAAGTCAGCAGGCAAAGACCTTGCCAGCTGCTGTACCACGCAACTAGGTCGCAGTTTTCCACGCTACGACAGACTTAGGCAACTGCAACTATTGTGTTAATGAGAGAGTTATTTCAGTCCATCGCAGTGTGTGCAGAAACAGGTGTAAAGTAACCACTATTCGTTTTCGGCTCGACCGCAGTATTCAGCCGAACACCGAATAGTTATTATGTCCACTATTCGGCCCGAAGCGAATATTCGGTACAGCCCTAATTTATACATACAGCAGAAAACAGATACAGTACTGGCATTAAGGCAATCAGCCAGTGGTTTCAGGTTCTTTTCCAGGATCTGTTCCAGGATCTGTCTTTATTTCATATCTTTTTTTTTAGGGAACAGGTAACACCCAGCCAATGACAGATTAAAGAATCACATTAAGACAACAGCCTCTGGGCTCAGGATCTAGTTTCTGAGTCTGCCCTTCTTTTGGATCAGACTGAATTCTCCTTCACATACCCACAGCCTATACTAGCTTATAGACTGGCTTTAATGCAGCCAGCCAATTGGGTACCATCTCCATGCCTGTAACAGAGTAACAATCTGGATAGTATTCATTCTTTATGCCATAGGGATTACAGTCAATGATTGTATCATATTGTATAATATATATTTCAAGCCTAGTTAGATTCTCAGCACAAGATAGAACCTCAGCAATTTGATAAACCATACCACTTTTCACCTCAGAGACTGGAATTTCAATAGATATCTCAATAAGGAGTAGGGAGTACACATTTGCATTCTTCAACTGGAATTCATGTCTAGTCACTTCTGATCCCCCAGAAGACATGTTTCGATTCCTGCTTCTAGCCCACGGCCGGTTTCTTCCAAGCTTTTGGTTCCTAAAAATCTTTCTTTTTCCGCTGTCCTAAACTGTGAAGCTGATTTTAGAATTTAATTTCTTTGGCACCTTTGCTGCTATTCCTTTCAGGCACAACATTTAAGTTTTGTACTTTCAAATTATTTCCCTCCCTTCTTATAGCGGTCCATCATTCTGGCGGGCAAGTCAGAGGAAAATTCAAATTCATTGTTTGACACTGGCAGCCTCACCACAAACACATAATAAAAGTTGACACTGTTTTAGAGTTTATCTGATGTTGTCTTTCCACATTGTTCTTAGTCTGCCTCTAGGTATCCCTATCCTCTTTTGGTATAGGATACTGTATTTCACATTGCAATATACTGAACATATATTGTTAACTGTCCTCTGACTGAGTAGCAAATAACGTAGTATTTAATATATATTTTAAAGCAAGAGTATTCAGATATTAGAGAATATTTAAAATGCATTGTCAAGGTGAGCTGCTGGGAGTTCTGTGCAAGTTCAAGGGTCCAGAGGTGTATGAGAGATGTAAAGATCAAATCCTCGAAGGCATCCGTTCCAACCTGGAACGACATGGTCTTGGGGATGACTCCAGTTCAATTGCAGGTACTCCTACAGAGCAGCCTGAAAGTATTTTATCCTGTTCCCCAAACACCACTGCCAGGATCTTAGAGAAGGTATTGAAATATTGACTCTGTATGTCAGCTGTCTCTCAGTAGATTTTAGAATAATGCAATACCTATATGTTATAGTTATGTAGTTAAGTCAGTATGTGTAGGGTGGATGTTTTCCCAACTGTTGAATACATTTGTTTAACCAAACTGTGATGGAAAGCATGGTTCCTAGAAGAGACAAGGGCTGACAGCATGAGCGTAGAAACGGGACATTAAAGATGTTTTAAGCATGCAAATTTATGAAATAGCAAAGAATCAAGCATCGTTTCAGTGGACCATGATGAAAGTGCATTCTACAGAGAATCTGCAACATAATGATAAATGTCTGTTCAACACAAGACCTTTGCTTTTAATGTGTTTATCTTTTCCTTCGCATGGAATGGCAGTAGCCAGTAAAGTGTATTACTACAGAATTAATATTAATATATAATTTTTCGCATTACTCAAGAGCATCTCAATAACTTTTAACTTGACTTTAGTAACAGCTAATTTGTCTTCACCGGTCTGGTATGATCGCCTACACCAATTGACAAGGCACATGATGATGATTATGTTTTGTGCGAAAGTCACAATGATGTTTAAAGAGGTTATGAAGCCAGGGCTTTGTGAAACATGGGTACACACAGGCATTCATGTTGTGTTGATGGGTTGGGAATGTAAACATTTGGGCCACTGGAAAGAGTAGAGCATGAGCTCCCTAAGGAAATATGAATTGACCACGGGTAGAAAACGTCCCGTTTTAATTTGAGTCAGTCAGTCAGTTTTCAGGCAAAGTGTGCGTACGTGCCCGCAAATTGTTCAAGTCCTCTGAACGTATGGACTTCGTGTGACCGTTTTAACATTTTAATCAGTGGAGCTTATATGAACTGTCCGGATGACTGGCGGATCATCCGTCATATTTTGAATTTTCTAGAATGGGCTTGTGTTGGTCCTTTATGTGGGGTTGGCAGAGATGCGGCTATGTGGCACGCTGGTTGACGGGGTGACTTTAAGTGCACAGAAGTTGCTAGGGGAACTTTGAGTGTGTTGACCAACATGGAGTTGTGATGGGGAGGTATCGGCAGCTGGTTAACTGGATGTTGATCAGTGGTATTTCAGTGAGTAACTAGGTAGCAGGTGGGAAGGCTGGATTCTTTTCACTAAATGGTGCATCTACCGTGGTCCTCGGGTGGTGGTTCTCTTGCATAGGGAACCGTCAGAGAGCTGTCACTGCACATCACGGGGGTGTATATGCACGATAGGAAGTGAGTCACTTGTAGCAGGCACCTTGTACATAGTTCACTAGGGTGTTTTGTTCAGTCTTTATCGCAGTATGTTTGTCTGTAATAAAGAGGCCGATCACACTGTAATATCATGACTGGTGTGATGTTTTATATTACAGTACTCAAAGACAATGTTATTGGTTACGATAGGGCGTGTGTTACTTGTGCCTGGCTTATAGTGGTGCCCTTAATGGGTTGGCCTGCCTTTACTCCAAAATTAGTCACCATCATCATGTGCCATGTTGGTGAAAATTGGTGGCCATGGTCGTTGTCCGAGGGAATCCTGTGTGGAGGACTGACATCTATAAAAAGAAAACCCTCCACCCTTCCACTCGCACACGACTGATGGATATAGCTTCATGGTCAGAAGTAATCATGTTTGCAGCTGCGGGGGGGATAATTATTAACACAGCAGTGCCACACATTTTCTCCATGGATGAAACAGAAAGCATCATTTTATTTATATGTACGGCATTTGAACGCCTGACTGGAACGAATAACAATTATTTATGTTAATTTTAATGGGATAAATTATTTCAGAACATGAGTTTTTTGCCTTGCAAGCTCAGTCATGGAAGAGATTAGATTCATATCTCAAGGTTCCACTGTACTTTGTGGTGAGTTCCAGTTACTTCCACCACACTACTCTTATACACATGTCCGAAAGCTGTAAAATGCTGGATCACTAATTATTCCTCCCCACAACACTTGACAGGATAGATCAAAGATTGTGATGATTTATTAAAACTGCATTTCATGTTTTCTTTTGCATTAGAAAATGGTAAGTAGCTCTAATGTGGTAGTCATCAAAATGAAATAGTTCCAATCTCTGTCCCTTGCATAGAGGTCAAGTGATCCTGCACAGATCTTTCATGATACTGCTGGCTGGAAGTCTTTAGAGACATACATGAAGTAAGTACTTGTATGTGACCATCACTACATATATGTGTTTGTGTGTTTGCTTGCATGCATCTTTCATGATACTGCTGGCTGAAAGTCTTTAGAGACATACATGAAGTAAGTGCTTGTATGTGACCATCACTACATATGTGTGTGTTTTTTCTTCTTTCTTGCATGTATCTTTCATAATACTGCTGGCTAGAAATCTTTAGACTTAATGAAGCAAGTACTCATATTTGATCATCACTACGTAAATATGTTTGTGTCTGTGGCTTAAGCATTGCAAACATGCTTCGCAATGCCGGGGTACCTACTGGATTTGATCCCAGCTGCAGACGATTTGTCTTGTATTGGTTTCAACAGTAGTATCGAGAGCTGAACGTTCAGAAAGCAGGGGCAACCTACTAAACGTAAAATTTGCCTAGAAAAACCACAACAGCCAAAAAAAATCAGGGTGTTGGCTTTGCAACATTATATAAAGGATACCCAACTAACTTAAAGGGAGGAAAAAAAACAGGTGTGGCTTTTAATCAGGTGGCAGCTGGCACCATCCGTATGGAAAGGAACTTAGCACATAATGTCATGAGTGCAATTCTTGATTCATTCATTCATGCCCAAGGTATTGTCTTGTCTCTGTATCTTTATGCTGCTCGACCCCTACTCTTTTCATAGAAATTAGATCTGCTTCTACTGTTCTATGTAAACCACTGCAGTGTTTAATACGTCAATGTATTTCAATTTCTGAGACATGTTGATTCTTCTTTCGTTCGCCTGAAATAAGTTATCTATATCAGCAGTTTTGTCTCTTGTATAAATTTCACTGTCGTTGTTAGTTCATTCAGTGGTCCATAGAGTTTACGTTCCACTGTTGTTCTTTCTGGCCAAAAGGTTTGCCTTAATGTGTCAAAATCGGTGCAGTCCTGGAGTACATGCTCTGCGGTCTGGGGCACATTTCCACAGGTGCACATGGCTGATACACCTATCTTGAATTTTGTGTACATGTTGATTAAGGACTAGCTCATTCTCTTCCATGTTAGATCTTGTAGAATGTTGTTCTTTTAAACAAATTAGATTTTTTTCTAAAGGAAACACATTTACAATTTCTGTGATTCTTGCAAACACATATTTGGATCCTTGACCGTGCTACAGTATAACAAACAGCACATCTCTGCAATTTCCCCTTCCTGATTTATGATTTTTTTTTTTTAAAAAGGCTAACTTACTTTTGGAGATGGCAGTGTACAGTAATAGTAATCCTTTACAAACAAACTAAACTAAGTCACATTCCATCCGCTAGTGTCACAAAGTCGTAAATGTATTTTCTTTAGTTACAATTCTGTAAATATTATTGTTGTTAGTATGAGTGCTGGTAGTTCTCAGATTTGCATTTTGCTAGAGCTTATTCAGCAGCTGTTTAATTTCAGACTGTCTGGGATTTTTAACTTTCATCCCATAAGAATCTTTAAAAACAGTGTGACATAAAAAGAAATTATGGAATGTCAAGATGAATGTAAAATTTTTACAAATCTGGGGATCCATCCCTCCCCCACCTCACCCCAAATCATAGCTAATCTAACGAAACATTTTGATAATTATACTCACCGTATCTGGACACTGTAGTTGCAGCCAGTACCAAAGCTGTCATACAGGCATACATTGCACTGTCCAAAGACATCACATTAGCGAAGATATTTTTAATATAAGAAGCATTGAAAGTAAAGTAAAGGACCTTAAGGTTGCTAGCCCCTTGGCTGCATAGACGAGTTTGCATTTACATGTTGTCATTTGGTCAGTATCATCCCAGCCCCCGGGGCACTTCCTGGGGCCGCACAAGCAAAGGGGCACCATGCTAATATGTGTATGTCAAGTGACTTGCCATATATAAAAAATTCCATCCATGTGAGTAGTTGTTGTAGGGGCCCCAGCACACTGGTTTGCCCAGGTTCCCATAGTGCTGATAAGCGTAAAACAGTTCTATTTCCTATAGCATTTTCTGTCAGTTTTTTTTTTAAATGCCCCTCTTAGTGGGAATTTAAACACATGACCACTTTGCCAACAGGCATGTCTGCTGCTGACAGTTATGCTGCCATCACCTTGGCTGAGTGTATGATGCTAGCTTATTTGTTTAGATTAGTGAAACACAATAGACATTGTAATTTGTGCAAAACATGCTAGGAGAATACAGGTTGAAGCTAGGAGAACTAACATACATGCTTTGTAGGTGCCTGCAGAGTGTCATCTTTGGTTGTGGCCACAAGTTCAATGATTTTGTGGATCAAGAGTTGCTGGACCTCATCTTTGAGACCTTGACCCACACGAACCGGTTCGTCAGAGAGACTGGGTTTTATGTGTGTGGAGCACTGGTAACCTGCGGAGCTAGGGAAGGAAGTAAGGATCCATTTATTTGTAATTTTGAGTCTCTTGATTTCTTTAGTCTAATGGAATGTATTCCATTTAATGCTTTCCTCTGTTCATTATTGATTATTCACTTAATAGATAAAAAAATAAAATTGTAAGCAATTGAAATGTTTTAATCATGCCAGTTAAAGTGCTAGGTTTGGGGGAGGGGAAATTCCTGTGGGTATTTAAGCATTTCTAGGTCAGATGGGTTAAACCCATAAGCTTGGTTCAGAATTGTCCCATCTACATTGATGTTGTATTTTTAGGGCATATTTTCTTTTGTAATTATCATCACTAAACTGGTTGCAGTTAAAATGATTAATCTCACTCATCAAACTTTATATGGTGTAGATGCTAATCATGCCAAAAACATCCTGGTTTTATGTGCTGGATTTATTCTGCCACACATCCCTCCTTGCCAGTAACACACATGTATAACCATTCTTTTATAAGAAAGAAACTGACCTTTGGTCATGTGTTTCGAACAACATTGGAGAATATTGTGATGGCTGGAAAGATAACTCATAAAAGAGGCAGGGGTAGAGTGAGTGAAATGCAGGCCAGTCTGTGATGGTGCCATGGAGAAACACACAGGTTGTAAATACTTAAATTAGTTCCTTTGTAAGATGTTCCTCCTAACCAAATACACATGTAAAACTATTCTTTTTACTAAACACACATTAGATGCAAAGTTTAGAAAGACACATTGAATATATATGGATATATACTCATAGTTTGGATACTGTAATTTCGTTCGGGGTAGGGTTGGGTGGGGTGCAGTATCCAAACTACAAGTATATATCCAACTTACTTATTGAGGTGATTAAGTCATGCAGCATCTGCAGGACCGACTGAAAACAGCAGTTGGCCAAACATTTTTTGCAGCTGTTTCCAGTAGTGATGTACAAGACCACACCTATTAAACAGCTCGTTTCTCCGTATTCCAAATCTAACTGTATTTACCAATTTACATCTAAGTACCAGTTGACTTACATTGGTCGAACTGAGAGACAGCTTGGAAATAGAGTGGCAGTGCACATACCCAAATGGCCCAAAAGTTCAGTGATTCTTCTAGGATGTCGAGACCAATCAAGAGGAAAGAACCCGCTTCTTCCATAGGATGCCATCTACTTGATTCCGGACACAGACAGTGCTTTCCATGTTTACCAGTTTTGAACCACACTCAACAACCCCCTCCTTTGTAAGCAGACAAACCTTGGTAAGTCAGGAGACTTTTTTGAGAATCGCCCGTACCTCACTCGGGCGCCAGTCCTTCACTGTTCTGGTTTTACGGAACCTCATGCAAGACTCCTGTTGCAAAGCTTTAACAATAAAAGTTTATCAAAAACCCCCAACTCTCCTTTGTGAGACTCAACCCTGCAGACAGAAGACGAGTTTATTCATAAATTCGAAGTTACCTTGGTAAGTCACGTGACTACGAGTCCGAACGAGCTTCCGGCAGCCATGAAACACACTGAAACAATGTATCAGAAGAAACTATTTGAGATGAAACAGAATGTTCAGTTGATTTGTGTGGCCACAAACGTCCTAGACCTTGATCTCCGGAGAGCGCAGCCTTGTAGCGCGGGAAGCTCAATACACGGTTGTGAGGTTACGCAGTCATTTGACGATTCCTTGGGTGAGCCCAGAACCAGAGCATCATGTTGCATTTATGGAAGCCTCCCTTGGATGGCGGGGAATGCCTATGATCTGCCCCTGCCTTCCCTTGAGGGCTAATAACTCTACATAGAGATGGACGACATGCCGGGGGCCACACCTGAAAAGTCAAAGAGGACACCACACAAATAAAACATCTCGACCCACACAAATTGCCACAGTCAACTAGAAATAGGCTTGACGTCTTCCTCCGAAGTCGGAGTACATCTGCCGGAGAGGCGGGAACGAGTACTTTAAACAAATAAGCCAGTAAAACGGATGTACACGCAAAACTCAGGTCAAGGTAAAAGCCAAAAGTTTTTTGGACGAACATCCGCGACTTACCACCGGAATTCACAGCCGGTGAACAAGAAGAAGAAGAAAGCACCCGATGAGATACAGCGAAATATGCCTGGCAATAAATTGTGCAATGCATTGTTTGTATCTGCATATTGCATTACAAAACATTGTTTGAACATAGATCAGTTGAAATAGGTCTGAATGCTCATTATGACGCCTGATTGACTAGACAGTAAATATGTGTTGTGTTTGGTGTTGTTACAGCTGAACATGACAGTGAGGCTAAGCTGACTGAGGAAAATGCCATCTATCGCCATGGCAGGGTCTTCTCTGAGTACTTGGGCAAGGGACTCGCTGACAACTGGAGTCAGGTTAGTTGACTGCTTGAGTCAGGTTACATGTATAGCCTATGATAGCTCAAGTCACATTTACGTGTTCAGTTCCGGACTGTCTCAGTACTGAACAAATGATAGTCTATTATGGAAGATTTTAGTTGGGAATTTGGCATAGTATCTGCGACTAACCACAAATGAGATGTTTGGAATGGCTGCGAATAAAACCAGAAGAGATCGAGTGAGAAATGATGTGATTACAGGAACTATTGGGTGGATACCCATCGTTAAATTTATTGAGAAGCAAAGAATGAAATGGTTTGGTCATAATGAGAATGGAACCAACGATGCCAGCATCAAGAGCATACAACATGAAAATCGAAACACCAAGAGGCAGGGGAAGACCAAGAAGAATATGGATTGAAGGAGTCACGGACAACTTGAGACTTCATAACATCACGGCATATGAAGCGACTGAGCGCGCCCTGGCTCGGTTGCCGATCATCTGATAGACTGCGACGCCTAGCGGCACAAGCAGATTTTGACAAAAGAAGAAGATTTGTCATGCAGTTTTGTGCTGTGCAGTTGTCAGTTTTGTGTGCTTCTTGTGCTGTTTTGTGTGTGTGTGTGTGCATTTTTCTGTGTGTTCTGGACAGTCAGGAGGCTGCAGTTTTTGTGGGTGTTTTCTTGTTTGTTTTTTTTTTTTTGCTGGGGAGCAGGACCTAGGCTGCATGTTTTTGTTGTTGCTGGGGAGAAGGACCTAGGACTTAGGCTGCATACACCCATAGGACTTAGGCTGCATACAGTCATGGGAACTAGGCTGCATACAGTCGTGGGACCTAGACTACACTCTCTTGTGGGAACTAGGTTGCACTATCTCATGGGGCATAGGTGGGTTGGGGTTAGGGTGATTTGTAGATGTTTTGGGGTCGTTAAAAGCGCTCACATCTTTCAGTAAAGAATACTCGATACTAGTTCTGTGTGGGTTGCCCTACAAATAGGTGAATCATTCTAGATATTTACTGCTGGGTTCATACACGAATTGACAGAACAATTTTACATGTTAGTATTTCTGGAGAGAGTTTGGAATGTGGCACCTGCTGTTGCGGCGGCGGCAGCAGCAGAGAGAACAGACTTGTTCTGGTGGCCAAAATGCAACAATGTCTGCTGTCTAAGGCATCCGCCATCAGTCTTGCCTTTCTGTCGGTGCTAACACCATAGCATGATTATTACCACAACGTCTGGTGCTATGCAGAGTGCCATGATGTTGCAGGAAAGCAAGGCTGCTCTTCTTGTCCGGCACGGGTGCTACTAATTCCAGAAAATTCATGGCGATGAACACAAATCGCTAGAGAGAGGCTGCTGGAAGAAGAAACACGCCAGAACCTTGGCAACGCCTTGGAAGACACACAGAACTTGAATTGTTTGCTCATATTTATATTTAACTAGACTTTGTTTCAACTATGGTATGATGAGTATGAATGACTTTGGTCAGGGGATCACTGATACAATCTATCTAACTATAAATATTTATGATTATATCATAGGGTCCTTGTTACAGTCTTATTGTTCAACTAAGTTTAACTGAGATGACAGAGTGTGGAAAATGGTCGATCGTCACAGCGCAATCCCCATTGTAGACAGATCAGTAATACAGTACATCTGGCAATGATTCCTTGGGCCACTTATAATAGGCCTCTGCAGGCTGGATTAGGCCCATGGGCCCAAGTAAATAGCCTTGACCTTGAAAATGTGAAGGTCTAGCACTTAACACTTGAGCACCAATGTCCCTCTGTGGGACCTCCTGTATAGATGCCTACAGTCTGAGGCTGTCTTTCAGAACATTTGTCAGTCCTTACATTTGTATGTTGCAGGTTCGTATGGCTGGCTCAGTTGCCACTCGGCAGTTTTTGGTCAGCTTACCTACAGAGAAAGCGAGGGAGAAATTCTATCCCATTTTGATTCCAAGGATGTGTCTGAACAGGTTTGACTGACATTTTATAAATATTTTTTTTAAATTGTCTTTATATTGTGTGAATGTTGCTGGATAACTCACGTATCATTTAACGGACTTATTTACAGTGCAGAGTTCGACAGCAGGCCATCTGATGCAGGAAGTTTATGTAACATTTTGTTTGTGTAACTCAGTCATTATGACAGAATAAGCACATTTTATACATTAATTTTGTGCATGAAAATACTAGGCCATCCACTTTGCCATCCAGTGGCAGTTTCTGCAGTAAAATTACTTTAACTTCTCAAGTTAGAAGCAGATGTTATAACCTTGATGCTGCTTATCTCTGCACACCACTTTGCCCTGTATGGTGATCTGCCTTTTATGCTACTCTGCCCAGTTAACCATCATGCCTCATACACCTGTCCCACCTGTACACCAGTCTCCTAAATACGTCCCCTCTACTTTCATAATATCCTGCCCTGTAAACCAGTGGTTCTCAACCTTCCAAATACAAGAACCCTTTAATACAGCTCCCCATGTTGTGGCGACCCCCAACCATATAATTATTTTCGTTGCTGCTTCATAACTTCAGTGAATGTATGTTTTCTGATGGTCTTTGGTGTCCCCCGTGAAAAGGTTTTTTGACCTACAGGTTTAGAACCGCTGCTGTAAACCATCATTCCTCATACATCAGTCTCTCTTGCACACCTGTTCACCAGTCTCCTAAATACACCACTCTACTTTCACACCATTCTGCCCTGAAAACATCATGCCTCATACATCAGCCTCACCTGTACACTAGTCACACTTGTACACCTGTTCTACAATGAGGGGATCAGACTGCAAGAACATATGAACAGGCTCAGTTCGGCATGCAGATGATATAACATGAAAATAAATACTACGAAAACTGAAGTAATGCAGGTCAGCAGAATTCCCAGTCAGCTACATATCAGGCTGAATGGTACCTGTCTGAGGCAAGTTGTGGAATTTAAAAATCTAGGAAGTACATTCTCGGAGGATGGAAGAATAGATCAGGAAATAGAAATAATATGCCAATGAGCCAGTGCACTTATATACCAACTGACACTGTTATTAAAACATCCAAACATAAGTATGAGTGCCAAGAAACAGATTATAAACTGTATATTCATACCAACACTGTGCTACCAGTGCCAGACTTGGACATTATCAAAGACTAACCTACGTAAAATTAACACCTGAGAAAAGCCGCCAACTTAACTATATTTGAGACAAAGTTAGAAATGATATGATCAGACAGACTGTAAGAAACAACACCATGCAGCAAATTCATTGAGAAACAAAAGATCAGATGGTTTGGTCATTTAGCAAGAATACAACCAGAACAACTACCAATGCAGGCGTTACACATGAAAAGATCTGAAGGGAAAGCAAGAAGCCATCCTAGGAGAAGATGGATTGATGACATTAAAGAGCTTCTACATTGACACTGTCAATGAATCGCAAACTGCCTCCCCCACAACGCTTAACAGCAGAAGTGGAAATTGATGACTGACTGACTGACGACTGACACATGTACACCAGTCCCCCATATACACCAGTATTTCATATACACTCCTTTACTTGTATAGTTTTCTATCCTGTTAGCCCTGTGCCCTCTAACCACCCCCCCCCCCCCCCCCCCCCCCCCTCCCAAATGGATAGCTTGGTATGTTTTTCACCATAGTTTTGTCTTCTTAAACTGTAGGTACTATATGGCCGAGGGTGTCAGGATATACTCTCAAGCAACATGGCAGTTGATAACCCATGGGGAAGGCAAGACTCTAGTGGAGAAATATATACAAGAAGTTGTAAGTTCATTCACAGGACTTTTAGATTATGTTTTGAACAACAGATTCAGTATTAAATTGTTCTTTTTCTATCTTGGTATATGTATGTTGATAGCAAAGCTTGAATTTCTTACAAGTTTTTTTTATTTGTGTGTGGATTGTTTTAGATTGTCTATACTTACTAGCAGAAAGTGAGGGTTAGTTACAGGACCTGGTGGACCAAGTAAACAACCGGAGTGCAGACTGTGGTTTAGACATTAACCTTCGAAAACAAAAACTTTGATAATTAATAGTGGAAAGGAGCTGACAACACTGATCATCACAGTAAATAGAGAGATGTTAGAACAAGTAACATATTTCTCCTGTCTCTGACATGTAATAACAGATGATTACAGAGGTGGAAAAACAAATAAGAAAGAACAGGAATGGTCCTAAAAATATCTTCAGTAAGATTAGAAAATATTGACTGCTGGTGAGATAAATAATGCAAAATTGAGAGTCCTCAAATGTTACATATACTCAACCCTGTTTTATGGTGCAGAAACTTGGACAGTGAACAGGCAGGTAAAAATTAATATTGAGTCTCTGGACATGTGAATATAAAGAATTAATAGGTCATATTTCATGGAAATAGAAACTCAAAAACACACACAAAAATTACAAATGAAAAATCAACTGCAGAGGTTCTGTTGAGACTTGAAATCATAAGAGAGTTACTGGAAGAAATAAAGAGGATACAGTTTAACTATTTAAACCACATTAAAAGACAAAGACTCTTTGAGAAATCATACTTAAGGAAAAATTCGGGTGCAAGAGGTAGACAAAGATGCAAAGATGAACAAACAGAAGTCTGAGTGTGTACAACTAGGACAAGAGACAGAGTGTGTTTGAGATCCATTACAGTCAACCTTCATTGTAGAGACAGCGCCTGATTAATTTAGACTGTCTGAATTTGCTTGTATCTATGGCATGTTTCGCATATTGCCATTTTACAGATGAACTTATGTCTTGATGGTTACCTAACATGGAATTTTTTTTTAATTCTCTTTTTAGTGTTAGTTTCTGGTACCCTTATTAAAGGAAAGCTGACTTTAGTAATGTAATGATTTTCTTCCAGTCTTGTTGATTACCTCTTTAGTACGCCTTGTGTATGAGAATCATATTTTTACCAATGGTCTGTTGGGAATTGTTTTCTTTTTTTGAAATGGAGGCATTCATTCATGAATTAATTATCCTGTTATATCCCATTATATGTCCCATAGTGCTCACTGTCTGTTTCTCCATTCTGCTCTATCCTGTGCAAGAACTTGGATATCGTGGATGGAATCCAGTCCAGCACGCTTGGCTTTTCTCATCAGTATTCATCTCAGGGTTTCTGGTGGATCCATTTCCCATTCCAGTGCCAGTTTGGTGATTCTCTGTTTGTCTCTTCTCAGAATATGTCCATTATAGCAGGAATTTAGTCAGGGTGTGGTATATTCTCCGTGTAAAAATTATTTCCAATAGAAACTTGCAGGGAAGAAACACACAATTATTGAAAAGACATAATGCCCTAATTCTGACATTCAAAATCTTTGGTAATTGTTCAAACTGCACACACGAATACCTTAGTATTTAGCCAATCAGTTGACAGTTATTTTGCATCTGGGTCTTAGGAAGTGTTTAGGTGTACAAGCTTTTCCTTCAGCTAATACCATTTTTTTTTTAAATACAGTATATAGAGCTCAACAAAGGGAAAGGAAAAGTGCACACAAACCAGCCTTCCTCCATTTTTATTTTTTATTTCCTGTCATTAGCCTTCCTCCATTTTAATTCTGTTGCCCTAAAAAGACTAATTTAAGTGCCAATATATTGGCATTTCTGCAGTGACCTGTGCTCAGAAAGTATTGCTAAATGCCGTTGGTTCTGTCTGTACCTGCGCAGTGTTTTGGAGTCCCAGATATGAATATATTAACTAAAAATGGCATTTAGATGGTTTCATGGGAACCAGATTGCTTTTATAAGGCCAGGTTGACATCAAATTTTCTTGTGACCTCAGTGATCGAGGTCATAGCTTGAATCACTATATATTCCTTTTTTTTTTCCTTTGATGTGTGTATCCCTCCCATTTAGTGCTTCGCTCTGTTCATGTTTGTAGATTACTCCTTTCATATATTTTAAGTAGTAATTTAAAATGTAAATACATATTTTTTATGTATTACTGGCCTGTGTGAAAAGGTTGGTTTTACCTTGAAGTGTTTTTTTGGGGAATTCCCATGGGTACATGGACCTTTTGTTTTTAAGTGTTCCCAGGGCAAAAGAGTTAACAGTTGTGAATGCCAAGCATTTCTCTTACTGTCATAAAATCTTGCTCTGGGGAGCAGATCAGCTGGTTTGCTCTGAAAATTGTCAAGTATCAACATTCTCAGCTTTGCAGAGATTAATGATCAGTATTTGTGGTTAGTTATTTGAGTATTGTTTCCCTGTGCTCCCCATACAGGTAGATTACTACATTCTGTCAACTGAGTCAGACAACCATGCTGTCAGAGAAGCGGCCTGTGCTTGTATTGCTGAGCTTGGCTCTAAGGTGAGCATGTTAATGGACTTTGTTTTTCTGATCATAAAATTGTCGTCACTCCCAATTATGTATAATGGACAAAGAAGAAAAGAAATACTGACATCGTAGATTATCTGAACATCAAGGAAGATGGCCAATAAACAGCATCTGTCTCAGAAGCCCAAATATTTTGGCTTTATCAAGTGCCACAGCGGATTGGAAAAAATAATAGCAGAAGGCTTGGTGCCAGGGAGGAAGAGCAGTTACCGACCAGCAGGAAGATTGGCACATGGTATAAGTGACAGCTTGGGTATGAAAGTGCACAAGGCAGGAGAGCTGGCAAGAAACTGATCTCCTTTCCGGCAGACCGTGATTAGAGCAATGTTCTGCAAAGGACCTGCTACATGATGTGTCTGTATTTTTCTAATTATAAGATTCTTTTCCTTCATCAGCTGTGTGTGTGTGTATATATATATATATATATATATATATATATATATATATATATATATATATATATATATATATATATATATATATATTATATATATATATATTTTATATATATATATATATATATATATATATATATATATATATATATATATATATATATATATATATATATATATATATTTATATATATATATATATATATATATATATAAAAAATATATTTTTTTTTTTTTTTTAATCAAACTAGGGCAGTTTTTGTGATTGTGTGCTACTCTAATGCAGATTAATGGGTTGATATGTACATCTTATGTATGTATTTTACAGCCTATCTTAAAGTAATTATTAAGTAATGTTTTTATGTTGTTTTATTGCTTTACATTGCAGATTGAGAAGAGTGTGGTTAGTCCGTATGTGCCCAGGTTGTTGGAAACTCTCCTGATATGTTTCAACGATGATAGTTGGCCGGTCAGAGATGGTAAGTGAGCTTATTTCCTGTCATTAGTCTCCGTTTTCATCTGCATGTTATGGGTCATCTGCAGGGCCAAAAACGGGAGTAAAATAGTACAATTTAACCTAAGCATAAGAGGCATTTGGCTCTTTCACTTCTTGTTCAGAGATCAACAATTGTGATTAATAATTTCATAATCGTCGAGAATTAAGGTTCATTCTCAGGGGTGAATGGTTTTTTAAAAAGAAACCGTTTTCGTGGTTTCAGACAGTGATAGACGATTTGCACCATGGAAGAGCTTGAGCTTCACAACGTCATATCCCCAAACATGGCAGTGGTACGCTGTAGCCAGCCTTTATTGTGGAAATGGCACCAAATTTTTTTTAAATTTCCTCCCGCCTGCACCACAAAAGTGGTAAATACAGGCTGTAGTAGCTGTTTGGCAGTTACTTGAATTCTGTCTGGCCCACAGGTTCGTATCTTAGAGCAGTCATTTTAAATCTTGTATAAAATGGAATCACTGTGTGGTGCTCAGTGTCATAAAGAGCATCTTCTCAGAATGTTGTAAGAGGTGACTCTAAGAGGGGTTGGACGTGGGGCCACCAACCCCACACTGTTTAAAACAAAAACACCACAGAAACAGAGACAAACATAAATTAAATTTAAAAAACAAAGAGAAGCCACCAGGTGAAGACCGAATTAGTGTTGACATGTTAAAGGTAGATCTACAATTTACAGCAAAAGCATTACATGGAATATTCATACAATTCATACAAACTATGGATAAATCAAGTGGTCCAGTAGACAGGAAAAAAATGATGTAATCATCCCACTGCCAAAGAAAGGTGATCTCTCACGCTGCAGCAACTGGAAAGGCATAACATTATTGTCTGTACCCGGAAAGGCACTCTGTAGGGTGATAAACCATCTCACCACACGAGCTTCTGTCACGCTGGCCCGGCCTCTGCGGCATCTCTCGCCAATAGCCTGTAGGCCTAACGCCAGCGTAACATGCAGGTGTGCAGGACTAGTCTGGCAACACCCAGACTAGAACCTACATCACCGCATCCTTCCTCTCCGGGGACTTGGAGCCAACCGTTTTTCTCTCTCTTCACATTGCGTTCAATGTGTGCTGCACCGCACCAAGTTTTTACGTTCAATAATGAACTTCCCTTTCATATACCCATATATTGCACACAACAAACAGAGTGAAGACACCAATAAACAGTTTTGCCAGAAGGTCAGGCAGGATTCAGAAGAGGAAACTGCTGTGATCTTATTTTCACTCTCAGAAATATTGTGGAACAAGCTTTAGAATAAATTGCCACATTATATATAAACTTTACAGACTTTGAAAAGGCATTTGACAGTCTAGATAGAACAATGATATGGAGGATCCTTGCTGCGTATGGGCTACCAGATAAAGTTATAAACTTGTTTAAATGACTCTATGAAGGATACCAATACAAAGTGAAAGAAGGACTCATAGAAACAATACTTCAGGGTAACTTTAGGAGTCCGACAAGGGTGTATTCTGTCACCTTTTTTGTTTCCCATAGTGGTAGTTTATATTACGAAGAAAGCAACCACAGGCTCACGGACGGACCTTCAGTGGAACCTTCTCGAACACCTCGAACGTTTGGACTTTGCACATGATATCTGTGTCATCAGCCAAAGTAAAGAACATCTGCAACAAGACAGATAAAGATAAGATCACAGAAAGAAAAAAAAACACAGGGTTAGGAATCAATGTCAATAAAACAAAACTGCTGGAGATAAACCCCAAGAGCGAAAGACCTATAGAAATAGATAATGTAGGTTTGGAAACAGTAACTGACTTCACTTACCTGGGAAGCAATATCTCCATGGATGGAAATGCAGTGGTTGAAATGAAGCAGAGAATTGCAGAGGCAAATGCTGCTTACAACAGACTTCAAAGTGTCTGAGATCAAACATCTACAGCACTAAAACTAAACTTAGGATTTACAAAAGATGTGTTAGAACAGTTTTCCTCTATGGAGCAGAAACTTGGAAATCAGAAAGATAGAGAGCATGCTCAGGGGTTTTGAAGGACGGCTTCTCAGAAGATTTTTGGGGTTCACATGGGAAGATAAAATCAGCAATTCTAGATAACAACAAATGACAGACTTAGAAGATGTAAATTTAGAAGTCAAAAAACGAAGATGCAGTTGGATTGGACATGTTCTCAGAATGAAGAAAGAGAGATGGCAGAGACAGGCAGTGCAATGGACAACACAAGGACAGCGAGAAAGAGGCAGGCCCGGAGACACATGGAGCGAACTTTTGAGGCTGAACTCAAGGCTGCGCGAAGGACAGAACTGACTGGATATAGAGAGGATGGCTCAGGATTGAATTGAGTGGTGACAGTTCATCTCTGCCTTATGTGCCTCTGGGCACGATGAGGATTGATTGATTGATAAAATGGAAAATAAAGCTTTGAGAAATTGTAGTAAAAGTTGCTAGATTAACAGAGGAATGAAACAAAAGGAGTACATAAATGTGTACCTTATCTGGGGTAACCAATGAACACATTGTGATTATTTTGGTACTTGGAAAGATTTAGAGATGGTTAGCATGTGGTTAACTACCTCATCACACAGAAAGAAAATCCAGTCCAGGTTTATCAGACAAGAATGGATTGTAACACTAAGCACTTCACGAATAGTTAGCCTAACCTTCATCTTTGTTCTGGGTCATGTGTGTGTTCAAAGCAACACTGTGCAGATTATTTTGCAAACACTGTGATTTCTGTGGCTGGACTGAAGCAGTGTTATCAGTGCCATGTGCAGCACTTACATTAAAGATGAATGTGGCATAGGGCATGACTTTCTGTCCCTGTCTTGGCTGATGGACATGGGGGTGCAACATAGAGCTGCAAGAAATGAATATTTAAACTAGGGGGTAAGACTTTTCATTAATCAGTGCAGGAGCTTTTGAAATCAGAGCAGCCATAGATCTGATGCACCGAATATTCGCTTCTAGGCCGAATAGTGGATCCAATAACTATGCGGTATTCGGCCGAATACTTGCGGTCGGGTTGAATATGAACAGTGGTTACCTTACACCCGTTTCTGCATACACTGCGATGGACTGAAATAACTCTCTCATCAACACAACAGTTGCTGTTTTCTAAGTCTGTCATAGCTGGGGAAACTGCGACACAGTTGTGTGGTACAGCAGCTGACAAGGTCTTTGCCTGCTGACTCAACCGAGGCATTAAAGCAGAGGTTCTTAAACTGGGTGCGTATGCCAGGGGTGCCCCGGCGAATATCAAGAAAAGTATTTAAAAGTTAACATTTAAATTGTCTTTCCTCGCCACTGTTGAAAAGTTTTTTTTTTTCCTTGTTTCACACTCAAAGTTTATCATACTGCATAAAATGCCAACCGCAACGTAGTAAAAATTGTCTTTGTATTTATCTCGAGGTGCGACTGATCCTCTATCTGTATTCGTGAAGGTGAAGCAGACAAGTACGGTTGTGATTATATTTTTTATCTGAAATTTTAAAGTGGAAAATGTGGTCTGTACAATATGAACTGTTAGCCTTGTCAAGTAAGCACTTATATTTAAAGGCAATGCGTTGTGAGTCCTGGACAATTGGTAGGGAGGCGAAACAATTTCTTGAGGCCTCAGATATGTGGTTTTACAGAACAATGCTTTAAAATACCATAGACAGCCACACACAAAAAGCAACCAAGAGGTTTGGAAAGAGGCGGGGTCCCGAAGACAACTTATCACAGACATCAGAAGGAGACAGTCATCATTTTTTTCAGCCATGTTATGAGAAGAGGGAAAATGGAATATGTGGTGACCACTGGAAAGATCTGTGGAAGGAGGGATAGAGGAAGTCAACGAGAAAAGATTCTTGACAGTCTTGTTGCATGGCATAGAGGTGTGTCAGCACACGAACTAATACATGCTGCAGGAGATCGCAGATTGTAGCCAGGCATAATCACCCATGCCAGTCAGCAAGGCACCTGGTGATGATGATACACTATTCGTATTCGGCCGAATAGTTGGTCCAAAATCACCATTCGGTACAGCCCTAGTAATCACAAATCATGTAGAAAACTTCCGCTGCAAAATTAAACCAGTCATGAACAGGTTAACAAAGGGCTTAATGCAACAACAAAAAAAGAAGACACAAGAAGTAATTAGACTCAGTGGTGTATATGATGCCTTTCATACAAATTGTTGTTGAGATAAAATGTGAGTAGCAGGACTTTAAATGTCAGTTCTCATGTGCATAGTTTTTCATTTCATCGTGTACA